GGAAAAGAACAGCTACATCTTCCACACGCATAAAGGAAGGTTGTTGGTGGTCTCGCCACTTCGGGGGGTCCTGAGCACCGGTGTTTAGATGGATATGCCCCTATACCTGCGTTACACCTTGAACATATGTTGGACGTTTCGATTTCAAGATGGTGATCACGACGCAGATGTTTAAGCAACGAGTGTCGCTGGGCTGTCGACTCAAGGCATCTAAATACCTTGCCACATCCAATCACCGGGCAATTATAATGGTCGGGCGCGGGGAAATAATATATTAAAATGTTTTCAATTAAAATTGGTTGCATACTTACGTTGAATATTCAATAAAATAAGAAATGGCGTCAATAAGGCCATATAATTATAGAGAAAATGGCCGCGATCTTGCGCAGTGGATAATATTGTCACGATCGGCGCAGACTACCATAAGAAATGGCCTCTAGTCTGTAGGATATTAATCGCGTTTTAAAATTGAAAAGAAGAAAATGTTTTATAAGTTTAATAAAATAATTTTAATTTTAATATATTAATCTAAAGTAAATTTAATTATAAGAACAGATACTACACTTTGATCTTAGCCAAGAGGCCGAGAAGCGATACTTTTTTATAGATGCTCTCTCAGATATAATACCATATTATTTCACCTTGAATCAAGTTTCTTTTAGATTTTTATGATAGAAGAAAGAATATATTGAAAATTTTAGTTGATAATCCTGTTTTTGATATATGAGGTATATTTTTATAAATAAAGGTAAATTCATATTTAATTTTACCTATGATAAAAATAATATTTATATACAGGTGTAAAATTTATAAAATTTAACTGCCATCATTTTATTTTTAAAATGTTATATGTTTACCAAGTATAGCCACTAGAAAACTATGTTGAACATAGGAATATTTTTGATATTATACATTATTATATCAATTTAATATCATCATCATTTTATTAAATATTTTATATAAAAAACATAATCGTCGCAGATTTGGAACATTTAAATTAAAAAATTATTTATTATAAAGTAATGTCAATTTTGCATTTAATTATTAATAGTTGAATTTTATAAACATATATGAGCAAAAAATTAATTCAAAGATTTTATAGATCTTAAATATAAATAAATATTAAACTTAAATTAATAAAATATTTCTACGATTATCGGTAACCCAATTCTTTTATATTATGTAAATTTCTTAGTCTTCATATCTTATCTGGAATTCATTTTATAATATTTGCATTTTTAGATCAATCAAACGACAAATTTTGGAGATGTATTCTAATGGATAATTTTTGACAACTATCCCTGAAAAATTTAATTATCTTTGGAGCACCTTTAAGTGGTACAGAATATGTTTACAAATTTTATACAATCATTATTCCTCAAACTACCAATAAGCTTATTTCATTTTCAAAAATGCCATTTTAATTCCGCAAATTTGAAACTTTTTTAAAAATAATACGAACAAAAAATTTTAAGAATGATTCAAGAGTTACTAAATATTAAATTTGTTCTCACTCCTGACTTCAGTCAACCGAGACTTGTGACTGAGATGTTATAACTATTGCCCTTGTTTCTTTCATATGTTCTACTATGCATAAAATTTTATAAATTTTTTTAAAATGATGTCTCTTGGTATTTTAACTAATTTTTATAAGTCATTATTTTTCTAGTCTCCGAAACCACGTGAACCCGAAACAGGTTCAGAGATTTTTCACTGAACCCAAACCTGAACTCTTTTTTAGAAGGAGGGTTCTCGTCCCTGCTAAATGTCTCGGAAAATTAATTTTCTTATTTAAAAAATATAAGTGACAACTAATAAACTATATTAGATCCATCTCTTCCGTCAAAATAAATTTCATCCAAGGGAAGGCTATATCTAAGTTCTTTATTTCGAAAGAAAGAACATTGTTTAAACCAGGGATGCGAACCCGACAAAATTTTTGCCCGGGTTCGGTTCGGGTTAGGTTAAAGGTATAAAAAAAAAGGTGGGTTCGGTTCGGGTTCGGTTCAGGGAAATATTTTTGAACCCGGGTTTGGTTCGGGTTCGGTTCGGGTTCAAGAATTTTTGAGTTGATAAAAAAAATTCTATATTTAAATCATAATAAAAAACTAGACATAAATTTGATATAAAAAATAAATTTTTTTTTTTATTTATAGGCAAATATAGTTAAAAATACAAAGCATATAGTCATGTATCAATTTTAAAAATTTTATTAAGACGTATTAGCATAATATCTTCCAAGAGTTGTTCACTCATCCTCGATCTATGTGGTGAAAGAATGAATTTCAAATGTGAAAATTGATCTTTCAACGCTAACCTATGTTAAATGTATTTATATGTGAAAATATGATAAATTAACTTGGGTTGCAGGAACAGCAAATAAGATTTTAGATAAAATATATAATTCAGGGTGTTCCAGCTTAGCAGACTCCCAAAATGCAAAATATTTTCCTTCTTATCTAATCTTTTATAATCGCTAAATCCAGTAATTATTGTTCAATACTTTTCTCAGCAATCGTTGGCCCTCTTTTAAGTATTTTCTCCTGCCTTTCTTTAAGTTGTATCAATTTCTCTAAATCATCTTCTTGTTCAATAACTTCATCGGAACTTATATCATCAGATAAAATCGGCGTTGTTAAGCTTTTAATTCGTCTCCATAAATTGACAAGATGCCTTTTCGCACAAATCTTATCATCATCACTTAGTAATACCTGTAATATTTAAGGATTTATATTGTTTATATTTAAATATTCCATAAAATAACAATTTTAATATAAATCTAAAATAATTAATTTACTAAGCTTTTAATTAACCTTGTATCTTGGGTCCAGCTATATGGCAGCTAAGAGAATTTCGTTCTTTATAAACCTTTCTTCTCTGTTCTTAAGACAAGAATATAGTAATTGAGCAAAATGGTTTGGATTTTTTTCCAGTTCGATGAAGCATCTTAACCATGCTGCATAAAAATCTGTCAGTGTTAACTGTTCAGATTGGAATTGTTTGGTTGCGATTTTTAGCGGTTTTAAAATTTCAACAATCGTTATTAACTCTTTCCAATCTTCAGTCAATAAATAATCAGATTGCTCTGAAAAAAATCTTCGATATTGGGTTTTAGTAAAATCAGCCTTTCTAACATATCATGGGTTGAATGCCATCTGTGGCAATCTAACACAGGCTTAGGGAGTTTCATATTTTTTAATAACTTTTGGTAAGTGGGATGTCTTAATTTTAAATTTAGGCTCCTAGCTTTTGCAATGGTTTCCACAATAGGTAATAATTTTATAGCATCTTGAAGTGCCAGCTGAAGTGTGTGAGCTGCACACCGTACACTATAAATCGGATAGGATATAATAGTTGATAAAAAAGTATTTTGTATATCATCAATATCATATTTATATACATTTACATCCATATTTTCCTCATCTGCTGATTCACTCCTTATATCATAATCAGTTTCAGGTTGCAGGAGCTTTATAGCTCTTAAAAAATTACAACCATTATCAGAAGTAATTGTGTATATTTGTTCAATATTAATTTTAAATTTTAGTAAAATTTTTAATATATTCTCTTTTATATATTCTCCTGTACATCTCTCTTTCAGCTCTACAATTCCAAGAGTCCTCAAATTTATAATGGACTTTGATATAAATTGAATATTTACACCAAGAATTGACCTATCTAGTCGTTGAACTGCATCAACTTTTAAACTTATTAATTTTCCTTCTACCTCTCTCGATATTTTGTCTCTAATTGATTGGGCTGTTTTATTAATAGTTCTGGATAAATTTTCTTTGTTTATAACTAAATTGAGCCCAGCAAGGAGTGGATTTATAATTCTTTGAAATCCCGAATCTTCAATAATTGATAAAGGCCCGCCATTTACAGTAACAAGTTCTAGTATAGAACTCATCAAATCATTAGATGATATATTTATACTTATAAGCTTTTTTGGAAAAAAGGTTTCTATATTAATTTTAGGTTTTTTTGCCAAAAACAATTCCTGATATTTGGTTTTTTCATTTAAATATTCATTGTTGTGATTTCTTTCCAGGTGTCTTTCTAAATTTGACAAGTGATTACCAGACATTTTTACTTTGCAATATGAACATATTGATTTTTTTTCTATTGTATTAAGGGTAAAATGCTTATCAAATATGACTATATCTTTAATCTTAAATCTATAAAAAGAGAACAATTTTTATAAATAGCAATGATTTCAGAATTAAAAAAGAGATATTTATAAATTTAATTTCATTTATAATAAGCACTTCATTAATATCTTGTAAAAATTAATCTGAACCAAAAATAAATGATATATAAATTTTAAAATCATTTTAATAAGTTCACAAAAACTGCCCTACATTTAACAATTTTTAAGTTAGATGTTTAGAATTTTTTAAATTAACAATATAATAATTTTTACTTTGATTTGTTAACCATTTTCTAATTAATAATCTTTAAGAATAATAAGATAAAAATTTAAAAATAAATGGCGTAAATTAATTCAATTGTTTAAAATTTTTTAACACTCCAATAGGAATCGAGAATAAATTTAAAAATAGCATAAATGAATTAAGTTGTTTATAATTTATTAACACTTCATTTAATTGGAAATTTGAAAATATAATATTTGTATTTACATATATTAATATATGATTTTAAATAATTCACTGAACCCGGTTGAACCCGGGTTCAAATAAAATTCTTGGGTTCGGTTCGGGGTTTTGAAAATTTTATAAATGGGGTTCAGGTTCGGTTCGGGTTCAGAGTTTTTTTCTAAAAACCCGGGTTCACTTCTCCGGGTTCGGGTTCGAATCCCTGGTTTAAACAAAGATTCGTATTATTCTCATTTTTTTCTAAATTATAACATCAAGTTTTGATTTACATATTCCACAATTATAATAAATTAAATATTACTATAAAATAAATATATTATTATAATGTAAAAAAAATATACATTTTAAAACATGTAAAAATAGCTAATTTGTCTATTTTCATATAATAATAGTTATATTTTTTTAAAAAAATCTTATAATTAAAATGGGATGTTTGAAATCTAACGCGAGACCACAGGAGGTAGAAAAAGCAATCTTGGCTGTAAAGTATCTCCTTGATTTCCTTATAAAAAAATGAATAATTTTCGTTAATTGGCAATGAAAATATTTAAATGTTTGGTTTGGCCTTAGCAATAAAATTCAAATTTTATAATATATTAGATTTGGTGGTATGCTAATAGAATGAGATATTATTAATATTAAGTAAACTAAAAGTCCGCTGACGTTAAAATACATGAATAACAATTCTATCAACATTTTTTTATAATTTTTAAGTATAAATATAAAAATGAAATTATTATATAATTTTTTATTTATTTATTCGATGAATAATTCCTGGCTGTCGATTTTTTCTAATTCAGAATTTTTAAGATGGCACCATCGTTCGATCTCTTCTTCCTATGTTGTTTAGGAGATAAAATGAAATTATATAAAAACAAATAAAAAATAGGAAATTATAATTGGGTTTTCATAAATTGTTCAATTAAATTACTAAATAACATTATTCAAACATTTTATTTCCCCTAGTGATCTTTAACATCCCAATATAGTTTCTAAAAAAATCTTATGAGATTTTAATTATGTTCCAATGTTATAGTATTCCCTTAAATTATGATTTTTACGTTTGGTTGCTTCCGTCTTTTCTTGACCAAATTTTTTCCGGGATTTTTTGGGAGTAAATCGTGATTATGAGGTGGATATTTCGTAGTATCCAAGATAATCGATTCGCTTTTCTCTAAAGGAGAACGAGTTTTGGATATGCGCGATACGTTTAACGAATTATTGGATCGGGAAAGCCTACTATAATCCCGTAATATGGGGGTTTGCGATTCGCAGGATGCCTCCGGGGTGCTGATATAATTTAAATGGCCGGCGAGTGGTTTGAGATTTAGATTGGACGCCTTACGTTGCTCGTTAAGAACTGGTGTAGAGTGCTTGGCATTTTGAGCCCTTGTCGATATTTCTTTGTGGTGGTGGGAATAGGAAGAGGAACTAACGAGGACCCGGTTCGTGATATCTGACAGAGGTGTCGGTTTCTTTGAATGCGATAATGTATGTTTATGACGATTATCTTGTTTCAATCGGAGAGTTCTTCGGGAGGGATTATTGGATATCGAACTTTCGCTTAAAGTCTTTATTATAATATTTAAAATATTGAATACATCAGTGTTGTTAAACGGCTATCCCAATATTTTAGCCAAAAAATGTCATGCAAGGTCTCGAGATTTCGTTATTAGATGTCCAAGCGTTCTTGCCTGCCATCTATGAGCAAAATCTTCAGGCTTGCGTGACATTTTTGGTTAAAATATTGAGTTATTTAACCAGTAAAATGTTTTTTAAATAAATAAAGGAAATCATTTTTTTTCACCTCTAGATAAATGATTATAACTTTTACAGTAATTTGAAAAGGATTCGATTAATTATAAAATGCTCTTTTACAAAAAATATTATGTTGATAAGAATTTGTAAACCCCGCATGGGATCCGGAAATGGGACCCATTGGTCCAGACCCCAAAGTTCAGTCTTGCGGGTCGAGTCGCTCATGTTAAGACGGATCAAGCTAATAAAACTCAATTAACAACTCATTATATTTTAATCTTTACTTTGAAACGTTTCACGAAATAAATAATTCAAGAATAGTTCAAATTAGCAAAACTTTTGGGCTAAACAACCATTCTTACCAAATAGAACCTCGGCATGGTTTCCAATGTATTTAAAAAAAAGTATCTAAATTACAGATATATATCGTCGATACCAAAAAAAATAATATTTTGCCTTCACAGTAAGCGCACATTCGCGGCAAAATTTTAGTGTATATTTCGCCGCGAGATTTGTACTTACTGTGAATGCAAATTATTTCGGCAAATTAATCTGGAATTCTCCTGTGATGTCGGAATCTATCAATCTTAAATTAATCTTTTTTTTTTAAAAAAAAATTCCGATCTTGCCGAATGGAATTTCAGCATGCCTGGAATACTTAACCCCCTAAATTTCATTAAATAAAAAAAAAATTTAGAGAAAAATGTATGGTAAAATCAGATTTTACAGATTTCAAAATATATCAGTAGGTTAAAGGCCTCTACGGGGAGGAATAAGTATTTATTCCAGATTAACTCATTAAATTAATGGAAATGAAAAACAGAAAAGCTAATATATTTCATTTCATCAATAACAGGAGAAAAAAAGATTAATAGCACTAACCATCCTTTTTCTTTAATAGGGTTAGAAATTTATAATAAAATTCGTTGAGGCAATGTTGAATATATAAAAAAAATAATTTATTAAACTCTCTAAAGCATTTTTAATTATCGGAAACTGGTATAGGCTAAAATTTTAAGTATCGGTGGATTTCATTACTAGCCGCTACATTTAAAAATACTTAACTAGTAACTTTTTAATGAAAATGAGTAGTTACAGTTATAATTACCGGTTCATAGACCTTTTTTTTAGAGGTTTTCGGGTGACTCAGCCTAGAAGACTGCTGCATAGGCGGGTTTTTCCCCCGCTCGTCCATACTTTAAATGAGCAGAACAGACTTCAATTTTTAAAAATAATAGTTTTATTTCATAATATTGCATACATATTATATATGTTTAATTAAAAAAAATACATTTAAATAAAAAAAGAGCCAAACCAGAATAATTTTTAAACATTAGGAGGGTGGGCTGGTTAAACAAAATTTATGGATAAATAGGCGGGCGGACGGGTAAAGCGGGTTCAAAAAATTTCAAAACAACGTGTGAGCGGTCTTTTTGGCTAAAAAACCTGCCCATTGCAGACCTCTAACTCAGCTCTCTTGTTTTGTTTTGAATAAGAACAAATTGAATACTTACGAATATCTGCGAGTAAATTTGAAGATTTCGATAGAATAGGAATCCGAAGAAAATTACATTACATCCATAAAACTAGAGGCCTTTTAAAGGAAAATATAACCAAAAAAACAAATTATAAAATTTTCAAAAATCACCAATGTCATTCTTCTTTTTTTTTTGGAAAACACCAAAGAAAGCGAGATTTTTAGTAAATGATATCAATTTTTTTTTTGTAAATTTATTTATTTTTAAAAAATTTTGTTTAAAAATTCGTTAGTATTTTTGACTAATAAAAAAATAGGAATATTTTTTTTTTGTGAAGGCCAATTCTCATTTTTTTAAATATCAGCCACGTATGCATTAGTTTACAAAAAAAATATATCAGCTGATCGAAATCGTCCTAAAAAAGAACTCATCAAAAAAGTAAGCTGAATTTTGTACTGTTACTCAAAAAATTTAAGCTGTCCATACTTATAGGATTTTAAGTATCACCTGTTTTTTTTCAAAAAAAAACAAAACTCTTAGGATCTTTACGAACCCTACGAAAGTTCTAGGGAAGAACAAAAAAAACAAAGATGAAGGTTAAACATTTTGAGGATGAATAATTTAATTTTTTTTAAATTAGGTCCGATGTGGTCTAAATAATTTTTCTTAAATTAGATGTGCAAGTTCAGCAATGTTCCGCTCTAGATAGCTCTTGCCATGACTATAATATATTTGTATAAATTTATCGTGTTAGTAAAGAAGGATGAGTGATACCTGGATTTGGTAACCAATCCACTAACATATAAACACCCTAGAAAAGAAAAACGAAGTTTATATTAAGTTATAGGAGGAAAAGCGTTAAAAAAACAGTCAAGTAATTAATAGTTTGAGTAATAGTCAATTTTTATATATTTTGGGATAGGAAAGTTTTAAAATGTCGAATATGACAATTGTAACCCTTCTGAATTACCCTATTATTTAATATCCACCATTTTTTTTAACCTAATTTCATTAAAAATAACATTTGGGAAATTTTCAAATAGGATTGTGCCGATATCAAATAGCGGATTGGATAGGCACCGATATTTAGCATTTTCCAAAAAGTATGGGATCCGGTTTGATGTTACTTAATTTTTTAATTGGCGCATAATATGCCCATTTATAAATGGTGTGGATAATTATTGTCTGAAGCGTAGTTGCCATTTGCCATTGCGACTATCTTCACCTCTGTTCCATAAGTTGCATTTTGGGGCATGCCTATTCTCTCCAAATAGAGGTCAACCCTTTCTCCCCAAAAACCCCTCCATCTGCTCACGCACATCTTTGCTCCTCATAAAGAGAATGTAGTACCAGCTGTAATTGACAAAAATGGGCTTGTGTAATGAAAAAGGTGTAATGGTATTATCACTTAATTATGCATATTTTTTTTAAGATAATGAATTGACAGCAGAAACTGTAATTTACAAGAAAGATGATGCAAATCTTTTTCTTCCCACCAACAGAAATTGGAAAATTTATCATTCTGAACGCTTTCATTTTGCGATCAAGATATCCAAAATATGACAGTTGTGATGGAGGATAATATTTCTACCAGTGGATTATTGGTGATGGAAATTGTTTCTTCTGGTATATATATTATAAATTAAATTGTTAATCATTATTATAGATGTATAAGCAAAGATGTTTGTGATGACGAATGCTACTATGATTTTCTGAGACAGCAATGCATTCTCGTCATGAAATAATCCACTGGTAGAAAAATTATCTCCCTTCACAACATTGTCATATTTTGATTGCAAAATGAAAGCGTTCAGAATGATAAATTTTCCAATTACTGTTAGTGGAAAGAAAAAAAGATTTGTATCATCTTTCTTGGAACTCTACTGTCAATATCTTAAAAAAAATATGCATCATTAAATGATAATACCAAATTTACATCTTTCTCAATAAACCGGCCCATTTTTGTCAATTACAGCTGGTACTACATTCTCTTTATGAGGAGCAAAAATAAGCTTGAGCAGATGAAGGGGTTTTCGGGAGAACTCGTCGAAGTATATTTGGAGAGAACAGGCATGGCCCAAAATGCAACTCATGGAACAGAGGTGGAGATGGTTGCAATGGCAACTATGCTTCAGACAAATATAATTATCCATACTATTTATAAATGGGCATATTACACACCAATTAAAAAAAATTAAGTAACATCAAAAAAATTCAATTTGAATATAATTTAAAAAGTTATCGCCAGCATTTTGACTGCATAATAAATTTTAATTAATCCTTATATATATGAATTATAGACAATTTTGCTGTTAACTTCGAGTCGTTTATAACTTTTATAAAAAATTAAGTTCTAAAGTTGATTGCAAAATTGTCTGAAATTTAAAGGGTGGGTATTCCAAACATGATGGAATGCATTTCCGGTAAAATCTGATTTTTAAATTTAAAAAAAAACGAGCTCAAAAAATGGTTTAAAGTTGTTTTTTATAAATATAAAATGAATGATATAAACATATTGTCCATCTTTTTTCTTTTGTAAAATATAATTAATGTACTTGGAATAATTTATTTAAAAAATTTGATTAATTTAAATATTATTTCTAGGACGGTGCCGATATTAAATATCAGATCGGCACAGATATTTAGCGTTTTCCAAAAATATCGGATCGGGCCGATACCCGCAAAGAATCGATCCGATCTTTTTACTTTTTTTTTTGTTTATTTATTTTACATTGTTATAATATTTTCTAAATAATTTTTTTTTAAACAAAGCAAATACACAACACCCTCTAAATTTTATTTCTTTTTTAAAAATAGATTTATAGTATTTTAAAAGTATTATTTATTTTAAATCTTTTTAAATAATAAGGCCAATTTTACATAAAATTAATAATTTTAAACATAGCTAATTTTAAATTAAAAAAATTTTATTTGGACGAACGTCAACGCGTTCGATTTTCTTTAGAAATGAATATTTTTAAAAATTAAGACGATATTTTATAACGATCGGATCGGAAAATTTAGTCAAAAATCGACATATCTTAAAAAGATGAATCATCGTCCCGATCTGATCCAATAAAAAGTATCGGTGCATCCCTATCAAATATGGAACAGTCCATGATATGTAAAAGATTCAACAAGGCAAATCCATTTTTTAAAAAAAAAACATAAATTGTTAAAAAAAACAAAAGCCTCAATGATAGTTTCGTAAATTATAGGCCCAGCTAGTGTTGTTAAACGGCTGGTTATGAGCCGATTTTTTAAAATGGCTAACTCAATATTTCATCCAGAAAAATACTACACAAGCCCGAAGATTTTGCTCATAGGAAGAACAAAGGTCTAGACATATATTAACGAAATCTCGAGGCTTAGGCAACATTTTTCTGGCTATAGTCGTTTTAAGTAATCAGCTCAAAACGAGCCGTTTAACAACACTAGGTCCAGCAATAAGAGACAATTTTTAGAGTTGAAGAAAAATCAATCCATTCATAAATAATGAAAATCAGAGACTTGCCCCAGTCCTAAGCCATATTTTATGTGCCTAATAATTAATTTAAATATTTTTAAATACGTGGGCCAGGCCTGTATATTTTTAAACCCAAATATTTTAAATCGTTATTATTAGCTATAAAAATTAAAATAAATCAAATATATATTTTTTTTATTTTAAAAAGTGGGTTTAATTTAAAGATGTCCCATGTGATCTGTTTCATTTTTTTCCTATGCTTTTAATGGAATTGAGGGTCTCACTTCCAAACATGCCTAAGGAATTGGTAACGATTGGTATGAACACTGTGTTGGTGAGACCAGCTTATTTGTTTTTTAAAAAGACTTTGTCTTTTCTATAGCAGAAAATGAGAGGTTGGAATTTGCTTCAAAATCACAAATATTGTACCAGGTCAGCGGGAGACCATTAGTTTAGGGAACAAGGGATATACCATCGGGCTTTATGGCATTTTCATTTGAAAGGCACACTGAAAAAAAAAATACAGGTCAGGTCAGAAAAATTTTTAAAAAATAAATCCTGCACAAGCCAGGATGTCAAAACATTCCCAATAATTCTGCACTATTCTAATAAAGAAACAATACTTTTAAATAAACTAGTAAAAAATCAAAGATTTGAATCCATGCTTGGCAGGACCTTGATTTTAAAACAAATAAACAATTTAATTAATAAAAATCTTCTAAAAAATATGATCTATGTATTGATTTAATATTTTGTGTTTATTTTTTTCTAAAAATTTAATGAAATAATTTTTGGATTTATGGTTAAATTTTCCCACATCATAATTGAAAAAATCTGGCAACCTGGATCCTATACACATTTTTGTAGTTGCCACCTATGCATCAACAAATACTTGCTGGGTATGTAAGATGATCTACAAAAAAACAATATATTTTTTTATATCATTACTTAAATTTCAATTTAATCCTTTTTAACTGTTATAAGTTAAAAAATTTAATTGAAATATAATTACAATGGTTGATTTTTGTTTTCAAATAGAAGTTCAAAAAAAAATAGAAATTAATATAAACATATTAATGCCAAGCTTTCAGTCAGCATAGTCTGATAAGTGCATTATAATATCCTAAACTAGTTTTTGAATAAGCTTAGCTAGATAAATGATCACTATATATTAAAATTCTGCAGAGCTCACTTGGCCCACTGGTAATACGATAAATAAAATATTGACCTAGCTTGTGGCTAAAAAAAATGTCTATGTTATATTTCATTTATCTCCATTTTTTATTTGCCTGACTGATAAAAAATGAAGAAAAGCTTAAAAATATTTGATGGGAAATATTTAGTATTAATTTTTGAAATAATATTTTGTGATGAAAAGTATAAAATACATTAAAAAAGAACTTTGTATAAGATTTCTTTCCTATTTTTTAAAAAAATCAGGACACAAGCTGCAATTAAATAGACCAGAACTAGATATAAAAGAAATTTTTCTAATAGGCTATGGGTAGACACTCAAATACAGTTTAGAGTATATACTATTAATTTTACCTAATGGTCTATTTGTAAATAAATTTATAAAAATTGAGTAATAACTTAATTTTTATTTTGTTAACCTATTTTAATTTAAATAATTTAAGGCATATTTCAATAATATTTATTATTCATATCAATTAAAAAATAATAATAATTTTCTTCAAATTATGAGGA